GCAAACCCCTTTCTGAGTTCCTGCATAGCACTTACTGGCGCCCTTGGAATCTGACCATGTCTAGTTCAAGTTCTCCTCTATCCCCCTTACCAGTCCCCCTCACACACCAAACCCCTACACACTCCTACTCCTTTGCATGTGCAATGCCCATGGCCCTTAATGCCTTCTCTTTCTTCAGTCTTTCTGCCCAACTCCAGCTTAGTCTTTTGCTGGTGGCGATTTGGGGAGGGGGTTGTTTTTCGTTTCGTTGTTTTGTTTTGAGGCAGTTCTATGTGGCCTAGGCTTTCCTCGAACTCTCCATCCTCCTGCGTCAGCTTCCAAGTGCTGAGATTATAGGAGGTGTAATTTCCGGGTTCCTGCTCTTTTATTTATTTATTTTTAAGCAGGGCCTCTTAAATCCACCATGTAGTTGAACATGACCTTGAATCCCTGACCCTTTACCTCCACCTTGTAAGCAAGTGCTGAGATTGCAGGATGCACCACCACACCCAGCTTCCTGCTCACTCTTTACAGATTGATTTCCACTGATGGGATGATCTTAAGTGAGTCTTATGAGTAACTCTAATTGGACTCAGTAGGTCTAAAAACAACAACAAAAAGAAGACACGGACTTGAGAGATTTTTGCTGATGTGATGTTCTCCCTCTGAAGGCTGTCCTGATTGGTCTTATTTGCCCTTCTGTTTGTTTCCCCAAGCTCCATTTGTTTATATCTCTGTCCTCTCCACTGGGTGGCAAGTTCCCTGAGGGCTAAATCTGGGGCTGATTCCTCAGGACCCAAGATGTCCCCACTGGACTGTGCCGCAACAGTGTTGTCTTTGATGACTGCCATCCCACTTAGCAGCTCTGATCCCTTATTACACTTGTGTGACCACTGGCCTCTTTTTCTACTTGAGTGACAGAATACCCTTTGCCCAGTCATCTCAGTGTCTGCATTTTTTTCAGGTGCTTTCTCTCACTCTAGACTGTCCTCAACATTGCCTGTCTCTGCCTTATTCTTCAGTCCACTTCCTTTCTCCCCAGGCCCAGAAGCAGTCTTGTTCTTCACTCATTAAGGATTAATTTCCAAGCAAGGCTGGGGTAGAGAACACAGAGCTTGGGGTCAGGGGATGTGTGCTGGCTATAGGAGTCAGAGCCAGAAGTCAGGCCATGCCCATTTAAGAATACTGGGGTGGCCAGTGGCCCACAGCCCAGAGCAATGCTCTTCCTTTGAGCCTGCAGCTAAGTCCCTCATCTCTCACCCTGGAAGGGACACCCTTCAACAGAGCAGGGCTCCTGAGGCCAACTTTGTTGGTTTAGTTACGCTACAAGGCTTCTGCTCCTGCCCCTGCTGTTACAACCTACAGATTCCTGGTACCAATCTGATTGAACAACTTAATTAAGATGCAATAAAAGAAAAGTGGTCCGGATGTGCCCCGGGCAGAGCAGTCTAGAGTCTGCAGCCACTGCCCCCTCTTGAGCCCAGAGTCGTTTCTCACCCTTCCTAAATGTCCTAGACTGGCAATGGCCTTAAAGGAAGAGCTTTAGTGTTGTGTGCAGAGGGCCCCTAAAGGTTAATCACCCCACCAGCTTGTTTATGCTGGTGGTGGGTCACCTCAGTTCATTGTCACGTCCAGAGAGGATGATGAAACTACCCAAGTGCCCCAGTCTCTAATATTTAGGGCTTAGCACCACCCAGGGCTTATCTCACAAGACCAAATAGGAAGGAGAACATGCTTTAAAATGCTGAAATTGAGCTGGAGAAGTGGCCCAATTTTGGCTATGGCAGCACAAGCTGCTCTTGCAGAGGACCTGAGTTCAGTCCTAGTACCCAGATCAGGTGGCTCTTAATCACCTCAAACCCAGGCTCCAAGGGATGCAACACCTTCTCATGGCCTTCCTGGGTATCTCCACATATGTGGCAGACACAGAGATAGTCACACATAAATAAAAATAAAATAATTTGAAAACCCAATGAAATCCATGTTTGTGTTTATTGTTTTGGATAACAGCTTCCAGAATTCCATGGTAATTCACATGCCATGTACTTATTTAAAGTGGATTTTTTTTCTCTTTTAGTTTACTCAGAGTTGGGCAACCATCACCATTTTGATATGTTTTTTATCAATCCTCAAAGAAACCCAATACCCCTTTGTGATGGTCCCTCCTCTGTCTCCTCATGCTGCTTTGTTCTGGGTGACCGCTCTCTCACTTTCTGACTCTGTTTACATGCTCACTTCAATCCTCTCTGAAGTCAAGAAATAGTCTATCTTGAATATGCCGTATTTTCTTAAAGATTTATTTATTTTTACGTGCATTGGTGCTTTGCCTGCATGTATGTCTGTGTGAGGGTGTCAGGTCCGCTGGAACCAGAGTTACAGACATTTGTGAGTGCTGCCATGTGGGTGCTGAGAATTGAACCCAGGTCCTCTGGAAGAGCAACCCGTCCTCTTAACCCCTGCGCCATCTCTCCAGCCCCCATGCCTGATTTTTTAAGAATTGTATGTCGCCTGATGTCTTGACATGCCATAGTTGACTCTTCATTCACTAGCTGATGGACAGTTGGCTAGGTTGCTTCCACCTTCTGACTATTGTGAAGAACACTTTGTTTTTTTTATGTTTTCAGTTCTCTTGGATTGACAAACTTATTTGCTCTTGTGTCTCATTAACAACACCAATGCAACATGGTGATGAGCCCAAGGCCTTATCACGCACATTGATTCACTGAAAAATAGTGAGGCCAGGAAGAGGGCTGGAGAAAGCCAGACTCCGAGATGCTGTGTTCCGCCCTTGCTCATGGCCCTGCTGCATGAGACCTCAAAGGAGGAAGTTAGACCTCTGACAATTACCTGCCAAAACCTTTATCATTTTAAAGAAAAAGATATGATATGAGAAAACTTCCATTTGAAATACATGAAGGAAGTTTTTAAAAACCACCAATAGTCACACATACCATCACTTTAAACTTGATCTGGTCCTTTTTTTTTTTTTATTCCCTAATCTGCCATCTTCTAATTCCCCAGTGAAGACCGTATGCCTACTTCTCAGTGGAATTAAACTCCCACCACGCTCTACCCAACTCACTCTGTTCTTACCAAGGAGTTGGGTGACTCTGCAGGGAGTTGGGGGACCTGAGTCAGGGCAGTATCATTCAAGGACTTCCGTCACAGTTGCAGCTCTCAGAGCTCTGTGTGCGGGAGACAGAGCTACTACACTGTGCCCTAGTGCCCTATTTTCTGGGTACCCTGTCCTGCTCAACATCTGTCACCAGTAGGTGTGTGACAAAGAGGCTGAGCAGAACAAATTACTCCAGATACCTAGTAGTTTGAACGGCAAGCAATTGCCAACATACACTTATTTTCAGCCTAAAAATAAATGGAAGTTTCACGTGACCAGTGGGGTTGACCTGTCACTCTCTGGCACTTCCCTCCTTCCCTTCTGGTCTGGCTGCTCCAACTGCTTCACTTTCTACTATTAGCTACTACTGACTTCTTCAAGAACACCTCCAAGGTCTTTGCCCTGACTCCAGCTGTCTTAGGAGCCCTTCCTCTACCTGTCTTTCCTTGGTCTTCTGGTATGATTGCATTAATTGTCTACTTGCATATCTGACCTTGTCTGTCAGCTGTGGAGTTCTGATATCACCGAATTCGTCCTGTAACCTCAGATGCCAGGATATCATACTTAGCATAACTTGTTTAACAAAAGTAGTGTGTGTGTGTGTGTGTGTGTGTGTGTGTGTGTGTGTGTGTGTGTGTGCCATGAGTCACTTTCCCCATTTGCTGTGATGAGACAAGGATTTTTTTGTTTGTTTGTGTTTTTGGTTTGGTTTTGTTTTTTTCAAGACAGGTTTCTCTGTGTAGCCCTGGCTGTCCTGGAACTCGCTATGCAGTCCAGGCTGTGCCCAAACTCAGAGATCTGCCTGCCTCTGTCTCCTGAGTGCTGGGATTAAAGGCTTGTGCCACCACCAACTGGTGATAGAAGGTTTTTATCTATTGACATCTTTAAGGCCTCCTTTGTCTCCAAGGAACAGGAGAGGTTTGATTTTAAGGACTTTTTCAATTCCTATAGCCTAAGAAATGGACATGACATGAATTCTTACCCTTCAACAGCCATACACAGGGATTTTATGTGGACTCAGGGAACTAGACCAGAAAATGACTGGCTAAATGGAAGCTTCCAAGGAATTCTGGTGATAATTATTTTATGTTCTTTAAACATGCTTTATTTTAATGCAGAGAGTGTTTATTTTAATGCATGCCAGTGTTAGGCACAGTAGCATGACACAAAGTTGTAAGTAAATAGCATCTTCCCTGGATCTCCAGTGACCATCTCATTTTTCGATATAGCTCGAAGTGCCTACCAAAATCCTGTCCTGCTGGCTGATTATTCTTGCCAAGACTCGCGGATGTGCTCGGGGAAGCCGGCCCATGTCCCCCAAAAGCTGCCTGACCATTGGGCTTCCACCTCTTAGCCTGGGGTCCACTGAGCAGAGCATCAGGCCGGACGCCCTCTGGCGGTGGCGCTCCGGAGCTACGGCCCAGCGCAGAGCTGGCGAGGGGAAAGGAGAGGGAGGAGGGGGGAGGCGCAGGCAGGGGAGGAGAGGAAAAAGTTGCGCTGGGAAGTTTGGAAAGTTGGGAAGTGGCTGCTGCGGGCTTCGCCTCCCTCCGCGCGCGTGCGAGGGAACGAGCGAGAGAGCGAGCGCGGAGCCAGCGAGCGCCTGCCATGCCCGGCAGACCCCGCCTCGCCGCGCCCGGGCGCCGAGCTCGCTCCGACTCCCTGCGGCCCGGCCCGGCCCGCCGCGGCCCCGGCCCCCCGCCCCCCGCGCCGGGTCCTCCCCTCCCCCGCCCGGCGGCCCCAGCCCCCCGCCCGGCCCGGCTCCGCGCCGCTCTCCCGCCCTCCTCTCTCCCTCCCTCCCGGCCGCGGAGCAGCATGGCGGAGCCCGGGCAGCGGCCGCGCGGCCGCCCGCCGCCCCTCTGAGCCGGGCTCGGGGGCAGCCGGGCACCTCAGAGCCGACCCCCGCCCCGCCGCGCCCTCCGCCGCACTTGTCCCACTGCGCGCCCCCTGGAGCGCCGCGCACCCCTGGGACCCTTGCGCGCCCCGGGTGCCCAGCATAACCCGAGATCCCTCGCTTACCCCGGGACCTCGGGACTGCCCCAGGAGCCCCGCGAACCCCTGGACCCTGACGCGGCTCCCGGACCGCCACGCGCTCCAGGACCCCTGCGCGCTCGCAGAATTCCGGGGCTTGGCCAACCCGGCTGCGCGCCCTGGTGAGGGGCCCCGCCCCAGAGGATCCCCCTCTTCCAACAGACGGAGCCCCGCCCCAGAGGGACCCCCAGGTCCGACAGGGACATCCAGCCACGCCCCAGCGGGCTCCCAGCATCTCGCGCCTGGAGCCCTGTGCTCCAGAAGAGCCTCGGTGCCCAGCTGGGGGCTCCCGCCCTGCTGAGGGGGCGCTGCCCAGGAGGGTCCCCCGCATCCCGCGGGCCCGGGCAGGATGCACGCCGCCCTGGCGGGGCCGCTGCTTGCCGCCCTCCTCGCCACCGCCCGCGCCCGCCCGCAACCCCCTGACGGAGGACAGTGCCGGCCGCCCGGATCGGTGAGCGAGCGCCAGCCCCGCCACTCTCCCGCCTGCCTGGGCACTCTAGCCCAAGGGGCGATGGTTTGGGACCTGCCTTCTTTAGCCCACTCGCTCCACCTCCGCCCTCTGGGCACAGCCCGGGCTCCCTTCCTTAGCATCTGTCCTCTGGGGCTCCAACTCTGAGCCCAGCCCAGCCCAGATGGTTCCTTCTTCACTCGCGGACAGTTTCCTCTAGACTTTTGGTCTTGGTTGGACGTTTCTCCTTTCTGTGCCCGCTTCTGACTCTCCTGTCTTTTATCTTGTCTTTACCCTTTGGTCTCTTTCTGCGTCCCAACACCTCTTGCCCTTCTCTACACTCTACCAGCCCTTTCGCTGTTTCATTCACACAGGACCCCTGCCTAGGCTTCCCTCTCTCTCCCTGCCCCTCTTTCTGACCTAAGGCCGCCCCCCCCCCCGCCCCCGTGCTCTCCCTCAGTACCCCAGGCCCCACCCAGCACCTATTGTCCCAAATGCCCCTGTTTCCTGAAAAGGGGTAAGAGTCCAGAGGAGGGAAACGGAAATGACAGAATGAACATACTTGTCTAATATTTCCCTGAGGGGGTCAAGTAGTTGCTTCTCCCAATTTTCCTCCCCAAGCCCGGAATCTCATGATTTTCTCCCAGTGCCCCTTCTCTTCAAATAGAGATTAATGCATTGGCAGTCACCCTGAACTGGAGGCCAGGCGACCAGAACACTGTTGCAGGATCCTCCTATGCTGCCCTAGTAGCAGGGCATAGGTTGGCCATGGGCAAGGTGCACGGCCAGCAGCCTGCCTGGCTAGCTGGTGTACACTGTCTATTGTGCATTCAGATTTACAAATCTTGTTGGTAAAGCAAGGTACTGTTTGCACCACCCACAATAAATACTTTACATTTGTGTCAGAATTAGGTAGGAAAATGTTATGACTTGACCTAAAGTTTGTAAGTGGTCGCTGGTCACTCAGGGGACTCTTCTAGATGGAAGATGACTTTGCCTGAGAGAAATGATAGCCCCCTAACTCCTGTTTCTTTCTAAATCTTAATTGGTACTGGAAAATCAGCCTTGGTGTTTGTGCCCCTGCTCGAGGCACACAACCCAGTGTGTACCTAGGTCACAGAAAAACACAGACCTGGGGATGGAAAACCAGGTATTCCTTTTTAGTGAGGAAGTCTGGGAAGCACCCAGGATAGGTACATTTCTTGGGGTTAATTCTATGGAATCCTCTCCTCCCAAACCAGAAATTGAGGCTTGATTTGACTTTGCAAGGTTTTTAAAACACTTTCTCATCTATGGTCTCAGCGAGTGGAGCAAAGTAGCTAACACTCCAGACCTGCCCTCCAAGAAGAAAACCTTACCCACCCGGATGAATGGGAAGTAACTGTTGAAATAGGTGTGCTATTTTTAATAGGTGTTCTGCTTTCAGAGTGCTCTTGGCATGTGTCTTCTAATGGCTGTATTTAAAAGTTATATGACTTCCGCTTTCCTTGCCAGAGCAGGACTCTTGGTCCCCCCTCTCCCCACCCTTTACATGAAACACTCCTGGTAAAGGTTTGGCTTGGCCAAGCATGAATGTTCTCAGGTGGTGTGGCAGTCCTTGGCTTTCACAGTGAAAGCTAGTCATAAAGAGAGCCTCCCTTCATTGCCCACTTCCTCTGTGCCTGGCACCACTCTGAGGGCTTCAGATATGTATGTTCTAGTTTTCAATCCTACCAATGACTTCCATTCTCACCCCCATTTTACAGAAGAAGAAACTGAGTCTGTGGGAAGTGAAACGATGTAGTGCAAATTATTCAATTAAGATAGGGCAAAGCCAGCGTTTGAATGTGGAGCTCTCAGCTTGTAAAGCTAAAAGCTTTGCCAGTGGGCCTCTGCCTTCTGGCCCCGTCTACCCCTGCCACCTCTCTGTGCCAACCTGGCTCTGCTCTGCTGCCTTTGGCCTCACTGATCTGCCTCTCCTCTCCTCTCTCCTTGTAGCAGAGGGACCTGAACTCCTTCCTGTGGACTATTCGGCGCCATCCCCCAGCCTACTTGTTTGGCACCATCCACGTTCCATACACCCGAGTCTGGGACTTCATCCCTGATAATTCCAAAGCAGCCTTCCAGGCCAGCACCCGTGTCTACTTTGAGCTGGATCTGACAGATCCCTACACCATCTCAGCCCTGGCCAGCTGCCAGCTGCTGCCCCACGGGGAGAACTTGCAGGATGTGCTGCCAAGGGAGCTCTACTGGCGCCTGAAGCGCCACCTGGACTACGTGAAGCTGATGATGCCCTCATGGATGACACCAGCTCAGCGCGGCAAAGGGTTGTATGCTGACTACCTGTTCAATGCCATTGCTGGCAACTGGGAGCGCAAGAGGCCAGTGTGGGTGATGCTCATGGTGAACTCACTCACGGAGACAGATGTGCGCTCCCGAGGTGTGCCTGTGCTGGACCTCTACCTGGCCCAGCAGGCCGAGAAGATGAGGAAGAGCACTGGGGCTGTGGAGCGGGTTGAGGAGCAATGCCATCCTCTCAATGGTCTCAACTTCTCCCAGGTAGGAACCCACACACCAGCCTAGCCAGCAGCCCCACAGTATCTTGATCCTGGTCTCTGATCTCGGTCATGCTCTAACAGACAGCCTGGGCTGGTTCCCATCCCCCCCATACACCCCACCCTCCACTCTCTGCCCCAAGCAAAAGCATCTCTCTGGCCCTGGGACAGCACTGGGCTGCTTTGTTGGGGTCAGGGGAAACTACTACGTGCCAAAGTTTGGGTGTTTCTTTCCATTTCAGTGGTTCCCTGTTGGGGATATCCACTCTCCACCTGCTGTGCTTGCCTGAGCAGAAAGAATTTCCCCGGGAGCATCAGAGTGATACAAAACAGAGAGAGGGAGATGCCCATTTGCAGCAGGCTTCCCCAGGCCCTGGGGACTTTGAGCACAAAGCTGCCCTGAGGTTGTTTGGACTCACCTGTGAGTGTGTCTATTACAGAAACAATATGGAGGTGGAGGGCATGGTGCCTAGGTTGTGCTGGCAGGCAAGGTATTGTGGACATGGCACTAGTTTGCTGGTTAATGCTGAGTTCTTCACCGTTTCTCAAGGCCTTGGCTAAGGTCTGTGACTCTAGAGCTGCCTCCTTAACACTGGGGGAGCATCCCGTCAGCAAGGAGAGTTTGGGGGGTAATAATTTCAGAGAAATGTGTTTGCTTAAGGTTGACAGTTCTGATTTCTGAACCTAGGGAGTAGGGGAGAAGGGAGGGGTTTAAGAGGTTTAAAGTCTCTGGCTGTCAAAGACCTGACCCAGCAAAATGTCTTTAAAAGCCTGTCTATATGGACAGAGGTCATTCGCGACTCACTGGTCCCCACCTCAACTCTGAGGCCCTGGGAACAATAAGTTCACATGTGTGCCTAGAGAACAGGGCTGTCAACCCAGGATGGGAACTCCTGGCTTGTGGCTCCTACAAGGAGGCCCCAATACAGGGTCTGGGTTGGTGCTGTAAGTGTAAGCACAAGACGTGCGTGCTCATCATTAAGGAGATAGACTCATAAAATGAGTAGACCCCAGACTCTATCCCTGGAATCAGACTCAAATGCTCCAGAGATGTTGCAAGCTCCTCACCAGGGAAACGGCTGCTGAAGCTGATCCCCCTTCCTAGATCTCTGGCCTTTGTTTTTCCAGGGGAAATGCAATATTGTCCCCAGGGAGGTAAGAAGCCAGATTGATTTGCCGGCCAAATGAAAGGCGGGTTTGTGAGTTCTCCTGCTGGCTCTCCCATAATTGTGGAGTCCTTACCCAGAGGGCCCGGTGGCAGGAATATTGGGGCAGTTAGTCACGCCCCGCAGGGTTCTGACTACGCCTGCCTCCATCTCCACGGGGAAAATCCTGTGTATTCTCTGCCCCAGCGCGGAGCCTTCTGAACAGAGCGGCTCTCCTCTTCTGAAGTGACTTTCCCCTTGCCAGCCTCGTGAGCTGATATTATCAGTGGTCGAGGGGCCCCCAGCACTCACCGCCCGCCCATCTCATTTTGGAGGCAGTTTTGTGGGCGGTCTCTCTGCCCATATTCCTCATGTCTGGCCTCCATAGATATCTATTTTAGTTTTGGGAGGTGGGGGATCCACTATCACCCTCAACACCCTCTCTGTACCAACAGCAGAGGAACCTGACAAGGCCTGAAGGGAGCATTGGAGCTCTCTGGTTAAACAGTCCCTGGCTTTAATCTGTCTCTCTTAAAACAACAAAACTATCTTTCTTCGGGGGTCTGGAAACACTGCTGTTCAACCAAATGACGGCTCTGGTGGGTTGAAAACATTTGCTGCAAAGTGTGTGAGCTTATGTTTTAGGAAAAGTTACTGAGAGCCGTTCATCGGCCAGCAAGGAGCCCGCTGACAATCTCCAAAGCCCATGTTTGAAGATCAAACAGACTCCAGTTTCTGTTGCAAAAACACTCCCACCCCATCACCAGCCTGGGCCCGCTCTTCAAATTGTTCTTGGGTCCAGCTTCTTGAAAGGGCCGTAGAAAACAAGTCTCAGGCAAAAGAAAACAGGAGTCCTCTCATTTCCTAATCTGCACACCCTTCACCACCTGCCCGAGAGCCTGACGGCACCAATTTGTCCTGATATCATTTTGGAAGGAGGTGATGAAACTTCTCCTTCATCCTTTTGGGCAGCAATGGGCTAATTGGGAAAAAGCAGAATCCAGAACCCGGGCAGAGGTCATTGGGATCCTCAACCTGACAGTCAGAAATACAGCTGCTTTCTCAGTAAAATTGTGTGCATACATGCATGCACAGTTTGATAGGAACATCTGTGATGCGTTATTGTACTGAAATATCTGTTATGTGCATCAGATTTTTATTCTTTCTTTCCTCAAAGCATTACTGTTATTGCAAAAATTGGGGGTGGGCAGTGAGCGAGGAAGATGAGGAAAAAGCTTAAAAGACTACTTTTATGCTAAGGTCTGAGATTTTAGTTTTAATTTTAATGATTTGAGGTATGTTATGTATTTTTTTTCTTGGTAGAAATATGTATTTTTGCTTGATAAGTAGAGAAAGAAAGTTTAAATTAGACTTATGGATCAGGAAGACCAAATCAGAGAGCTTAGAAAACTGGTAACTCTTCAGCTTGCAGAAAGAGCAAGCAGGTTTCATGACAGGTTTTGACCTTTGATTTCAAAAATAAACTCAAGGTGCTAGATTCAGTATCACTAAGGTTTTACCATGCGACCTTGGGCAAGTCAGTTCCTTTCCTTGTGCTTAGTTCACTCTGCCTGTGAAATCAGACACCAGGATTAGGTCATCTTTCAAGCCCCTTCCAGCCCTGACATTCCATAGGACCATTCTAATCAATTGCATGTGCCAGGCACCCAGCAGGAAGCTCCACGTGCATTTCCATTTCACTGAATTCTCCTTGTAACCCTTTGGCTTTCTAAGGTGGGCACCAAGAAAGGTTGAATGACTTGCCCAAGGCCACGTGGCTAATAAGGAACAGAGCCAGTCTGTGGGGACTCTAAATGACTAAAGAACTTCCTATATGTAGTTTCTGTGCTTGGCAGGGAGTCTTAGTGGACTCCAGGGCAGGGGAAGAAGAGGGCTACATGAGAAGTGGGTGTGCCATATCCACTGTCCAACCTCTGCTGAACAAATCAAAACTGGACTATGGAGGGGGTGGTGGGGAGCCAGGCCTGTTGGTACAGTCCCATAATCTCAGTTTTTCAGGAAGCTGACACAGGAGATCACAAGTTCAAGCCTACCTGGGCTACAGACTAAGTTCAGCGTCTGCCCAGGCAACTTAGTGAGATCCTGTCTCAAAGTACAAAAGTAAAAAGAGGGCTAGGGATATATAGCTTAGTGATAGGTACTTACTACACACGAAGTGCTTAGGTACTAGATTCAGGCCCTCGTGCTACAGAGAATGTGAAGGTGGCAAGCCCCTGCTTTGGGGAGCTTGGGATGCTTAAGCCTTTGGGCCAGATCTTATGGCAGTCTTAGAAGCTGGAGATCCTCAACAGTTCTGTTTGCTGCTTCCAGGGACTGGGGCTGGTTGCCACTACTCCCTCTGGGGCAGCGGTTCTCAACCTGTGGGTTGCACCCTCTTGACAAACCTCTATCTCCAAAAAATATTCACATTATGATACATAACCGTAGCAGAATTACAGTTATGTAGTAGCAATGAAAATACTTTTATGGTTGGGGGTCACCACAACACAAGGAGCTGTATTAAAGGGTCACAGCATCAGGAAGGTTGAGGACCACATCAGGATTCTCAGTCCTTCCCCTACTTCTGACCACTCACACGGTATGGTGGAGGCACTGGTTGAGAACACTTGAGTTGGATAGTCTTTCCAAGTTATGTAAGAGAACAAGGATCATGCTGTTCTGCCCATTGCTGCGTCTCACCAACGTGCACTGGTGCTATCTAGTGTCTAAGAGCCCTAACTCTGGAGCATACCTGCTAAAAGTACACACAATATTCATGAAATTTTCAGTCTTTTCCTCTGGGAGTTAGAAATCATAAAATCAATTGCTGAGCTCTGTCTTTGTGTGTGTGTGGAGGGGGGGGGACAGCACTGGACCTCAAAGGATATTAGCTCTAGTCCCCCAGGGAAGTGCTAAAAGCTTTATTGTCATATTTATTGTAAATTGAGACTTGAAAAAGATAGATCATTGACTGTGGTTACATAGACAGGTCCAATGGACTCAAGAATGTCCTTTGCTAAAACCCATGCTCTTTAGGCATCTAAAAGGTGGACTGATTTTGTTTTTTCATAGTTCATGACATTATCTGGTGAATTTGTGTCTATGTATGTATATATATGTATGCATGTATAGGTGTGTGTGTGTGTGCGTTGTATCATTATTGATAAAGTAAAATACAAAATACAAAAAAATGATTTAAAAGTACTGAATTTTTTTTCTCTGGATTATAAATTGCATCTTAAGGTAATTCTAAAAGAGGAGTTCCCAAAGACATTCTGGGTACCATCTCCCTGGAATTCATCACCAGTTTCCCATGGAACTATAGTGAAGGTAGTCCCCTGACTGAGGCTAAGCTTGTGCAGTTGAATACGGAAGGTCTCTGAGTTTACATATAGCTATCTGTGCCTGGTTCATCAACAGGTAGGAAGTGCATTATAAATATTTGCAGAATGATGAATGACTGATGGTCAGCAACTGTGATATGCATCCTTTATCCCCTTTTGTAACCGAGCATGGTAGAGTAAATGAATGTATGAAGGAAGGTGGCATAAACCACAGCAATGCATCCCCTCATAAACGTTAACAGCTGCATTGCTTCCTACAGGGACACAAAATAGCAAAATCGTCCAGTGAGTTGTCTTTAACCCTCTGAGATACTGTGGCAAGACACCTTATACTAAGTCATTTGTAAACACCACCTATGATTCTGGAGGCTGTGAAGGTAAAGACCAAGGTACCAGAAAATTCAGTATATAACGAAGGCTCATTCTTCATAGATGGGACTTCTCTGAACCCTAACATGGTGACAAGGGATAAGAGAGAGTAGTGACTTCCCTCAGGCCTCTTGCTAGGTCAGTCA